CAGGAAATGTTTTTTGGGAGCTGAGATTACAAACCAAAGCCACACTGTTCCAGGCCGTATGGTGCACTTCTTCGTGTGTCACACATCTCACAAAGATTTCTCTGCAGTGTTCGGATATGGCTACAGAGCTATGCTACGCTGAGCTGAAACAGGCACATTCACTCTCTGAAAAATCATAAACAGCGATGCAGATATATGTCTGTCCAACGTCGGTAGTCCGTCTGCGTCCGAGCTAGATTGCACCAATTAAGGTGCTTAGATTGCGGGTCGCACGTCGTCGTGTCAATCTCAATCCTGGTTAATTTTGGCCCTTCTAATAATGGTACTAATATTAGTACATTTGAACACACAGTTTAGTAGGTATATATGATCGATTCTGCTTCGCTTTTGCCTTCATGCATCTGTCCTTTAATTAGACTTGCATGTATAAGGTAGTAGTTGCCTCCTCTCATCTAACCTCTGAACCCAGTTTAAATAAACTCTACTATAAAGTCCAAGTAGATTTCATATTCTTTTCAGTAGCAGCTGGATTTTGTTTTTATATAGTTATTTTCTCAAAAACAAGTGCGAGACACGGATACAATTCAGAGGTCTGTGTGTCAAGTGCAGGTGCAGTGCATATAAAATGGAGAGATGCATGGCACAGAGCACCTTACTCGAATGCACGCATCATTAGTCTACTTTAATCATCAGGGCAACCACTACTAATCATTTGATGTCTCTCCTACTCTAATTTTCCTTGTAAGAGTCAAGGGAGCCAGCCATAAGATCGGCCAAAGGAAGCAACAAAGCCAAAAGGCGCCACTCCATTCGCCTTACTGCGTGGCCATCTTCCACACTTCTTGTACATCTCTCCGCTCTGTCGAATGATTTACATGACATCCACTTTTAGATTCTTCTTCTCTGTCTAACCTCCAACCCAAATTTTAAACTTTGTACTTGAGGTCCACACTAATCTAAGGTTATGACTTGGAAGAAAGGGTGGTTGATAAAGATAATAAACTTTGGTAGTTTGAAATACTAGGTCATGTTTGTCAACTAGTAGCAGGGCTTTGATTTGTGGCTTGCAATTCCCATGAAAGACACGCATCAACGTTGCAATCATGGGAGAGCCAATCGGACACCAAACTATTGCCTCAACTACACTCAGCTTTTAAAAATGAAATTGTACTGTACTCGCTAAATAAAACACTGCAATACCATGTTTATATCATTTAAAAATTTAATCTTGATCCCATATCGGTGATTAGAAAATGCTTAGACTATCTCCAACGGCCGATGCATCACGGTACCCAAACGCAAAATGCCTGCTCCACGTCGCTTTATGGCAAAAACATACGGTCCAACAAATGACGCAAACGGCGAACCCATTTTGGGTGGGAGGTGATGGAGAACGCAAATATGGGTCGTCTCTCTCCTCGACCCAAACCTCCGGCGCCGTGGACGATGACGGGGCTAGGCGGGACCGCAACGGGGAAGAAGAAGGGGAGCGACGTCCAGGCGCAGGTGGAGCGTTGGCTGGAGATCGCCGAGAAGCTCCTCGCGGCGCACGACCTCGTCGGTTGCAAGCGCTTCGCAGAGCGGGCGGTGGAGGCGGACCCGCTCCTCCCCGGCGCCGACGAGCTCCTCGCCGTCGCCGACGTCCTCCTCGCCTCCCAGTCCATGGGCCCCTCGGGCCACCCGGACCCGCTCGCCATCCTCCAGCTGCCGCCCGGGGCCAGCCTCGACCACGCCGCTGTCTCCCGCGCCTTCCGCCGCCTCGCGCTCCTCCTTGGGCAACGCAACCCGCACCCGGGCGCTGAGATGGCGCTCCGCCTCGTCAACGACGCCTACGCCGTCCTCTCCGATCCGTCCCACCGGGCCCCGCCATCCGCCAATCCCGCCACTGGTACCCCTTCCTTCTCCCTGTATGCCGCCGCGGGCGCTCCCGCCCCCGACCCGCCGGAGTTCTGGACGGCGTGCCCCTTCTGCCGGAGCTCGTATGAGCGGGCGGAGGAGCATGGCGAGGCGGGCGGCGCGCGGCTTCTCGTTTGCATCGCCTGTTGGAAGAGGGTAGTTTTTTGGTCCGGGATCCTTTCACTGTGCAGTACCCATACTATCGAATGCCTCTTGATTTTAGGTCCGGCTCGTTGGAGACCGTCTTAGGGCCAGTACGTTGGAGGGCAGCGCGTTCTCTGAGCAGTAGATGGAATCGGCGACAAATCAAGCTTAGCAGGAGTACACGCCCCCATGTCGTGTTCCATGTCTTCTTTAATCAGACCTTCTGCGCAGGGTTTAGTTTAAAACTGGTTATTAAGCATGGATTAGATGGTGACAGCTGAGGGGTTGGGGTCCAAAGTGTTGAGGGAAACCCTGGCCTGGCAGCAACGTGTATTGATTTTGTAATACCACACGCAGTTTGTTCCTAATGTAAGGCTCATTTCAAGCTCACCGTGTGTCTGGGTAGTAGCAGGTCGCAATTCACGTCACTGTAGTTCTGTCCCGAGCTAAGTATGATCATATATGTTGTCTTATTGTAAATAAATTGTAAATTAAGCATAGCTCAGCTAGCTAGGTTCGTTGTGATAGAACTTCCTCACGTCGAGCTAGAACACACAATATAATCTTTGGTTTCATGCACTACCATAGAAACACATAGACCACCGTAACGCACTAGTAGTGCAGTGGCATGGCTCCCTGTGGTTGAGCTTGACCGGCCAGGATTCGAACCCCGTCCTTGCACCTTATTCATGTAGGATTTCCTCTAAAAACAACGCCCCAAAACACAAAATGGTCAACACGTATATGTGCCACTGTTTTTATGATCCAACCGGTAAAGGTCAAACCATAAGTTCACCCTAGAGAGCTATTAATCCAACTCTAGGCAATGCCTTCAGCAATAAGCAGCAGCAGTAGTGTCATCATTGTCAGGTACAACCGAAGTTTCAGACTCAAGCATTTGATGAGACATAACCGGCTCCTTGGACATATAGGATGTTCCGAGTTGATTAGTCGGAGTTCTACATCAAGTTAGTTTATTGACTGGGGATGCTGCTCTTTGCTAGATAATTTGGCGAACGATTTTATTTTTAACAATGGTCACTCAAATACATTTTTGCAGGTTTTATTCAGAGGATGCACTGGCTTTAGTTGTGGGTTCAATTGCAGCACTCGGATGCTTACAAAGATCAGATTCACGAGGCTTGCAAATTACTTGAAATAAGTGCCATGCAGTTTTTTTCCGTCTAATGGATGGCATTTTGTGTACCGTCTCAGTCTCTAGTCCAGAACCTCGTAATAAGTTTTAATGTTGCATGTGTTTTCTTCTTTTCTGTGGACTGATGCTTCTTTTCTAGAAGGCTGAAGCTTGAATTATTTCCATTCTAAAAAAGGCTCTACATCTTCGCTGGCATGGAGTTCAAGATATAGTTCGTAACTATCCCTGATATCTTGGGAGACCTTGTCTCTATAAATAGTTACATAAAAAAATAATTCATAAATTTTCATGGGTGAACTTGATGAAAACAAACTTTATATTAAAATTATAGCTCTCGACGTGATCTATAAATTTGTAGTTGAAAAGTTTTTTATTTGAAACCGTTTATAGTCCCAAAATATTATTTTAAGTGCACAGAATTTGATTTGGAACAGTCTTAGATGTTGACATGGTATATACCAAAGTTATAGTTCTCTCAATACAATCTACAACTTTGTAGTTGAAAAGTTTTTTATTTTAGGTCATTCAGAGTCCCAAATATGTATTCTAAATTTATAGATTTTAAAAGTCAAAATTTAAAATTTCTAAACAACCTTGAATGTTCACATAGTTAATAACAAAGTTGTATTACTCGCAAAAAAATAGCAAAGTTGTATTGACTGATCTAATCTATATGTTTGCCGTTGATAAGTTTTTTATTTGAAACTTTTCAGTGTCTCGAATATTTGTTTTGAGGTCACATATTCTGATATTCAAATTTTTTATTTTTCTAACAATCTTGGATGGAGACGTATCCTATACCAGAGTTGTAGTTCTTGACAATATTTAAAACATTATGGTTAAAACTTTTTCCATTTCAGTTTACTTAGTAGCCAAAATACGCCCTGTTCGTTTGGAATGGTTTAGCTTATAAGCCATGGCTGAAAGTACTGTTGGCTGGTTTGGTGTGAGAGAAAAATATTATTCGTTAGCTGATAAGCCATGACTTATCAGCCAGATACGAGCAAACGAACAGGCTGATAAATAGCAGACTAGCAGGTCACATGCACCAAATTTCTGGTCTTCTATTTCTCTGGACATCTTAACGCACCCACATCCATAAATGGTGCTACCTCCGTTCTAAAAAGAATGCAACTATGAGTTGAGTGTCACGAAAAGTGGTTCACGTTTGATCAAGCTTTTAGTAAATAATATTCACAGTTATATCTTTAAATTAATTTATTATAAAAATACATTTTGTAATTAATCTAATGGTATTTATTTTGTATCATAAACATAGATATTTTTTTATTTATAATTGGTCAAATTTAAGGTACTGAAACGTGATTTTGTGGTAGAATTGCATTTTGTTGGGGGCGGAGATAGTATTATCACAGACGGCCATCTTCTCTGACGATTAAATTTTGGTTGGTGTTCTAGAGCCCCACTCTGTTTCGCTTTCTACATCGCTCCATGGTCATGCCACTAGAAGAACAATGCACATCGTCGAAGAGTTGCATTGGGGGAATAATTTTTGCATTTCAACGTACATAGAAGCAATCGTCCAGACTCCAGAGATCTCATTATTAATAAGTGACGAAAATAGAATAAAATTATACTAGCAACTAATGGCAATCGAATCAAATCAACGGAGCCAACAGAGCAGCGTTCATGAGCTGCAACAATGGTTCCTCTACTCTACTACCCCTACTTAAGACATCGGAATTGCAGGATGATTTACCGCCGCGGGTCGCGGCTTCGAGATTCGAGAAGCTTCCAGCTCCGGCGGCCGGCGTGCCGGGCTGGGCGCGGTGGTTCTCAGCGGTCAGCAAGCGTAGTAGTCGACGAGCTCGTCGAGGGACTCTGGCTGCGGGTCGGCGTTCTCAAGCGTCCAGAGGAGGTGCTCGAACAGCACGACCTCACAGCCGACGACGGTACCTGCCGCTGCTGCTGCTCCCCCAGTGGCGCCGCCGCCACCGGTGCGGTGGACGAGGGTCTGGAACAGCGGGTGGCCCACGAGCTCCTCGGCGACGAGGTACCGGCGGCGCGACTTGCCGACATACACCGGGTGCAGGCCCTTGGGCACCTCGTCCGCGCCGTGGAACGACGCGCCCCGCGCGCGAGCGTCGCCGGCGATGGCACCGTCGTGGTCGTCGCCGTCGTGAGCCGATGGCGACGGGGCGCGGGAGACGATGCGGCTCGACGAGTGCCACCTCTTGATCATGCACCGGAGCTTGCTCAGCCCGCCCTTCGCCATTGTTGCCTTTCTCCTTCGATCGGTCGGATGGGAGGAGCCCAACACACCAGACGCACGCGGAATTGAAGAATGAGAGCAGGGGAGGGAGATGAGCAAGACGGTGATGATTGGGAAATGGGGATGCAGGGGAGGCGACGGCCAGGAGTGGTTATTTATTTAGCGTTGCAACGAGAAAAAGTAATACCACCATAACATATGCATGAACTTGTATCGTATTGTTACCCAAAAAGATATTGCGAGCGTGACGTGCGAAATATCAATATTACATAACTCTTCATGAAAGAGACAATTAAAATATAACTCAAGTTTTGATGCAAAACTGAAACAATAAGTTTATATCGTAAGAACCAGTTATGTAGTCACTTTCTTAACCACACCCTAAGGATATTGACTCAGCGAGCACGAGTCATGTAGTCACTTGCAGTTCTCCAAGCTGTGTTGGAAGTGTTTTGCATAAAAGTTGTTTGTTAATATTTAAAGCTAAAGTATTGTTGACTATCTTGAAAAAATATGTATCAATGAGAGAACTCTTTTATAGAATGAAAACCGATAATTTGCAAAAAAAAAAAAAGTATATGAAAATTGATTGAAATAACAATACATTTCGTCACAACCATCAAATCAGAAAGTCTGGTCCAACATGTAAGATCAAATAATTAAAATGCATATGTTCATGCAAAGGAGTATCCAAAACTTCCTGTTAACAAAATAATGTGATTACCATGTCCTGAAACTCGGTGGCCTTGGAGAACTTACACGATGCAAAAAAATGTTTGTCAATTGTTTCCACAAGTTTAGGAACGGTAGGAACACTAAGATATTTCCACGATGCAAAAAAAAGATCTTTAGAGGTGGCATCCTATTAAGATGCTAAATCTATCCAAAAACTGCTAACTAAAAATAGTTTTATTGTTAGTATAGACAGTTTATACTGCTAACAAAAATGCTTAGTATGCAGTAATACACACTTTGGATTCATGTTCCTGCCTGTACAGTTTTTATGACATCTCCAAAGTAGCAAAGCTTAACAACAGTATTTAAACTAAGACGGTGTTGCTGCTGCTTAACTATATATGCAGAGAAATGTGTCTAAGATGGCAACTTTTGAAAATTTATTTTACCTCCATGCAACGTTAAACAGCCTTCGCCTGTTATAATTTTGCCTTATCAATTCTTTAGATTTCTAATATCCAATCCATGCAACACAATGACTTCAAATTCATTAAAATAGCATATTAGTGTCGCCTACACATACACCTTCTGAACCCTGTTTAATGCTAATTCAATGCATGGTGTTGACCTGTGGTGTTCTGATTGATATTTACCGGTGAATGTACACTTGACATGGCATAATAGCTTTCATGTGCATATCTAGTTCAAGCAGAGTGATTTAGTTGGGCATTTTCTAAAGTAGAAAAAAAAGTGAATCATTTAGATATTGCGGTTGACAACTCAGGAAATCTATTTATTCAAGCAACTACTAATTACCTAACTCCAGTGTCCTATTATTACAATATGCTATTCTCTAGCTATTTTTTTTATATCAAATGCATTGAATGATCATTAAGGACATCATTCATCTTTCTGTTTCCCATAGTACCTGCATGAGAGGAGGGGTTGCTGGTGACTCCGGTATTGACTGGGAACTCGTCGCCTGGCAAATTGGAATGTAGCTGATTCCTCCCTTGTAGAAAAAAGACCACAACAAATATATCATGAGATGACATAATTTGGATGTAAGATCACACCATGAGGCTCTTAGGTGTGGATCACACAGCTATAGGAGAAACACAGATTTAGATGGTTTTTTGAATGAGATTCAGGCATCTGAATTATGTCAGCAAATGTGCCTTTTCCTAAGCACAGTTGTTTATCTGTAGGCAAATGTGCCTGTAACCAACAATGGCAATTTTATCTTTGGATGAGTTCAAATCTGTGGGGACTTTGTTGCAAAAAACTTAAAAGAATCCAATTCAATTTCTACAGCCTGTGTACAATTAAAGAAGAAATTATCTTTGTTGGTGCACATGACACAAATCTTTTTTGAAGTAGAGAGAGATACTTGCAGACCTCTATACTATTTTTAGTACTGACAGTTGAAAGGATTGTCATTTCCGGTTTTCGTTTCCGGAGATACAGGTGGTAAGTTAGAAATGAAAATAGGTTAGCAGCTGATCTTCTAGCAAAGGTTTACTGCCTCTTCTAAAATCTTTAGGGCTCTTGTTTGGCACTACCATCCTTTCTGCGGAACAATGGTGTATCACAATGTTCTCAGCCCAAATGCCCAACACGACAGGGTACTTGGCCTTGGACGGGATGGTTAATTGGGAAAAGCAAGACAGAAAAGAAGGAGAGTGTATGTTGCAGCACCTGACATTATCTGAAAAGAAGGATACATAAGGCTGAATTAGTATATACTAATGGCAAAAAATAATAAGTCTGAGATGCAGGGAAGCAAACAAGATCACACTGACATTCAGTTTGCACAGTGAAGTCATAGCTTGCACAGTGACATTTTCATAGAAGTCATAGCTTACATAGTGATAATCAATTTTCAGGAAAATATATAGAAGCTACATTATTCAGGTTTAGAAAGAATATTCAAGCTGACAGCATGCTAACAGCAATATCATGGTCACAGAAAAATTACCGGAATAGAAAAAAATATAATACAGTCCTGATTTCTGAGCTATATAGTTTGGTTGACAAAGATATAAATTTTCATTATCCTTTGATCACTGCAACTCGACAAGGCTAATGCACCTGCATCTACTAACAGAAAATGACAGTTCTGAATTTCTTTTGTCTCAATCTCTTACCTACGCCATTGTGTCAAGCATCTTACTTTTTATCTGTTCCTTCTGCTGCAATATAAGCGCGTTTGAGTAGAAATATTGTGGGTTGCACCAATGTTTCATATGAGTATTTTTATCTGTTTCTTATGCATGTTATGTTATATTAACCTCTTGGCTCCTAAGTTCATATTTACATGTGGATGACCTTTTTCTTTGTGTTGCTCCAGTATGAGGTAAGACATAAGGCAGCTAATATGCTTTGTACAAAAGTTATTAGCCGCATGATTCAATTGTATACTGCCAGGCATCTCCAGAGAATTTAGTTGGCTAGCCGGCTAGTTGTCAGGTGTTGAATTACAACCAGGCATCTCCAGGGAATTTAGTATAGCTTTACTAAATTTATGGTAATAGTATCCTTAACTGTCGAACATGTTCTTAGAAGGTTCTCCATCTTCGCCATAGGATGAGAACATACTTAGATGCAACTGAATTGTATTATCAGTTTTGTGTGGATGAATTTAATTTTGCTTGAGAGTAAACCATACTTGCTGCTAAGGCTACAGTTCAGAAAAAATTGGTATGCCAACAAAATCTAGCATTGTATGCTCGGCTGGTGGTAATCCTAAAGTGAACAAACCATTCACGTGTTGATTCACTCAGCTAAAATGGAATGCTTGCAGGCCGACCATTATCCAATAATGTTGTAATTACTAAATAATTATTTGGCTCCATGGGGGCATGAGCCAATAGGCAAGATTCGTACAGACAAATGCAGTTATTTCAACAAGTCTTCTCTGTATATTACTGATATTATTGACATTCACAAATATTTAGATGGTGTTCCCTGGAGTGAACATTGTATCCATTTATCCCAGCATAACTCAATTACTGAGCAGCAACCTCTCTTTTGCATTGTTACATATTTTCTTGCTTGATTAAATGCCATCACAGCAAGTTAGTTTACAACATGCTTGGGTAGTGCGAACACGCAGTCAGATATCCTTTGATGGATGGTACTGTAATTCATTCCGATAGCATTGCCTCTTTAATCAAGAAGATGAAGAGGCATAAAAAAAATCAGAAACTAAGTACACAGCAAGAACAATCGCGAGAGAAAACAAATAACCAACAAGAAACCTCATGCATTGGATGCAAAAAGAGAAGGTATATTACCTACCTTGTGGGCTCGGCCGGGCTGGCAGCCTGGGTGGCTTCCTTGCCGCCGGCAGTGGGTTCTTGCCGGTGAGAGGAGGAATGGGAGGAGATCCGGCAGGGCAAGAGGAAGAGCGGAGAGGGACAATCCACGGCGTCGTCGATCTCTGGGTAGCCACAGCCGGTGCCGCCCCCCGGTGACCCCAAACCCTGCTCGGCGAGGCACAGTGAGACGACGAGCGCTGCGACGGCGGAGACGTCGTGCCGGCGTGCGCAACGGCGAGGGCGACAGCGCGGGGAGCGATGGCGGGTGCGGCGGCGATCTATCGCGCGGGGAGTTGCGGAGCTAGGCGGCGTGGGGAGCTGCATGAGGGCTATTAAAGGTCGGAGGAAAATCAGAGGAGGAAAACCGTCTCGTGTGCGGACGTTTATTAGCGCGGCTAAGTGATGATTAGCGGGGCGAAAATGATACCATTTGGGTCTTTTTAGTTGTAGATAGATAGAGATATATAATTGGGTGGAGTGGAAGAGGGGATGTGGGGACCGCATGTCGGCGGGAGGTCGAGGAGCCCAGCCGGTGCCGCTTAGCCGTCACCAGGTGAGCAGAGCGGCGGCAGCTGGCGGGGGGCGTGTTTCGTCCGGAGTTGCTGGGCTCTAGCGTGCATGCACGCGTCGTCGTCTCTGTCCGGATTCCGGTGGGCTGCGTCGCTGGGGAGCAGACAGCAGAGTGCAGAGACGTGTTGGCCGGATTCTTCTGCTGCCGCACAGCACAGCCAGCCAGGCAGACGTATCTGCAAGACACGGAGGAGGATTTCCGTAGCAAGTTGCCAGGGTTTAACATGTCGCCCGACGTGGGAACATTATATATGTTAATCACGACGATGAAAAATTACTGCCGTCCAAAACTCCAAACTAATCTGGTCCAAACCTGAGCAACATTTGACACAGAGAAAGCATCCTAACAGACTACCGATACTTTCGAATAACGATTTCTAAAGATCTTGATTTTCCATACGTAGGCTCCTAAGCCCCAAACGGTAAACAATCCGTCTT